CTGTTCCTTTTGATAAACAACATGCAGTGCTGCTCAACAGGCTCTGATCCCGGTGAGAAACAGCACACGGCGGCTCTCTCGGAACCTGCGAGAACACGCTTCCTGTTGACCAACTTTATTCAAGTGTGTTTGTCTCTCTGCAGGAGTGTGTACTTACTAGCTGAAAGTAGCAATTCTAACCTGACCGTACTGCAGTGCAAAGGCAAATGCACAAATGTTAAAATGTGACAACTGATATTAAATATCAATTGAATATTTATCAAATCAATCATATTTCAATCAAAAAGCTATTTTTCTCAGTTTTAGAATTGGTGGAGATTTTGACATTGCATGGTAGAGTATCTTATATTTCGAGTACATTTAATCATTTACCAGATGTTTTATCCGAACAAACTTACAAATGAGGAACATCATGAGCAATTTATCATATTAATAATGTTGCTTTTTTAGTAACACGCTACTAGGGAATAGGGCTGGACGATATGGCCAGAATTTATATCATGATATATTTCTTAATTTCGGTTGATACGATATAATTCCGATATCGATATGAACACTATTAAAAAAAAAGCCTCATAAAAACTGCCAAGAACACCCACAACAGATGTCTGTACCTAAAAACTTCTGAAAATTGAATTTTCCAAGTCTATGAAACCTCCTAGCATCCTTGCTAAATAAAAGTATTATAAATAAAATAAAATTGCAGCGCTAAATAAAATTTCTATAATTCCCCCCCCTTTTGAATGGAATAGTGTATAATGTTATAAAAGCTTTTTATTTCAGATAAATGCTGAACTTTGGATCTTTCTATTCATCAACAAATCCTGAAAAAAAATTCTCAACTGTTCTAAATATTGATAATCGGCAAATCAGCATACAAATTCAAATAGATAAAATGTCATCGAAACTTTTCTGAAGACAGTCGGTTCCCTTCAGATATACATTCATATAAAACACCCGGTCTGCGTTTTGAATTTGAAACGTACAGTGCTCATGTTTATTCAACAAGCCAAACGCCACAAATAAATCAATGTATGGGAAACACTGGTAATGTATATCGAAATATCGAAAATGTGTTTAAAAATCATATCACCGTTATTGAAAAAAAATTATATCGCGATTCATATTGATATTGAATTATTGTCCAGCCCTACTAGGGAATATGTAGCATTTGTAGCGTGGCAAAACAGCTACATCATATTTGTCACACTGTATCTCACATGCAGGTTTACAGCCTACTGGGCTGAGGCAATGATCAAATGAAAATTAAACAAACGATTAATTTTAGTGAATCAGTTCATTCAGGAAATTTAAACAGAAACTATTCACTGATTTGTGTTTTTGTGCAGAAGTGCTCCAATTACTTGAGCACCAGATTGGCATATTATAATGTTTTCAGAAGGATCATGTGACACTAAAGACTGAAAGCTAAGAACTTTAAAACGTACGAAATATATTAAAATATATTTAAAAATTTAATTATAAAAATATAATCTGATAAGTATAATCTTTTTTCTGTTTTAAAAGAATCTGAGAACATAAAGATCAAGTTTAAGTTGATACAATGGTCAGAACATTCATTAGTAATACAATTCATAGCAGAACAATCACATTCACATGATATTTTTAAGAAAATGAATTTTATTTCTGGCAAATGGTTAATAATTTGACTGGAGCAGCTCTGTAGTGCAGCAGATTTATTTTTATTTTTAGTAAAAGCTTCAGTGTTGACAGCTTCATTATAATGGAAATGATTCGGAGCGTTCAGTTCAGACCGAGTGTTACAGTGCTGTTGCTCTAAGAGGGGTATTTTAGCTGTTCAGTGCTGTAAATGTGTCGGGGTGACTGGGGTTAGTTAATCTCCAAGTGCTTTAATAGCGTCCCACAAATTGAGACTTCGGCAGGACTTGGATTTCTGTTTCGTCTGTATTTTCGTTGTGAGTCAACTGTGTGCGTGCGCCTCCGGGTTTGTGTGTGTGTTTGTATAAAGGGTGATAATTGTGCTCATAGGTTTAGAGTTCGTGTGAGGTTTTAATGAGAAGCGCTCACAGGAAGCTGTCTGATTGAGTAATGGCTGCCGGCTTGGCATAAAAGCCTGGCACTAACAAACAACAAGACTCAGAAGGAAAGAGAGAGAGAAAGAGTGCCAAGAAAGTCTTCCACACACACTGATGGCCATGCGCACTCGTTTCGCTCTCTCTCGCTCTTACTCTACACCCTTCTTCTCCTCCAAGAGACTTAAATTCACTACTCCCCCACCCACATGCATTATTATATAGCCTGAAGGACAAAACGTAAATTTAATCTGTGATAAGCAGAACATAGGATCAGCGCATCAAAAATACTCTGCACCTTTTCTGCTGATGCACCAGAATTCCTGCACCCACGGACACCCACAAACCCACCTGCAGCCTCGGGCTTTCCTGGACCGAACCGTTGGTGCTGGATTAACTTTTAAGAGCCTTAATGTCTATGGTATCACGAGTAGCAGAGTGTGTATGAGGCATGCATGAGTTTTTAACATTACCCTCATGCAACTGTTAAGTCATGTCCCTTAAGTGTTTTGGCAACATTGGGTCTGGTGTGATGCCAATGAAAAATGAAATGATTGGGATGCAAATGAGGATAGAGGAACAGGAAAGTGGACTCGTGCTGCACACAACTGTAATGAATACACACACAGCTGCATCAGCAGTAATAAAGCATAATAAGGGTGAGAAGATGAAGTTAAATGACATCTGTGCTTCAACAAAAGTAACAATTTTTTACACAGATGGACGTGGCTGTGTAGAGACGTAGTCAGGAGTCATCCAGAAAAGTAGTCAACTAGTTGGTGTGTTAATGTTACCAGCACACACACACACACACACATGTATTTATACAGCATACAGTAGTGGTTGTTAAACAGGTGAATGGATGGGTGGTTAGGTGGATAGAGAGATAGATAAGGTGGATAGATGGTAAGGTAGGTGGATAGATAGGAATGTAGAAAAGTAGGTAGGTAGGTTGGTAGATGAATGGATAATAGGTAGGTGGTTGGATGGATAGGTTGGTAGATATGTAGGTGGGTATGTGGGATGGGTGTTGGATAGATAGGTAGGTAGATCAGGTGGATGTTTATATGGATGGATTGGTGGATATTTTGGTGGATATGTAGGTTGATAAATAGGGGGATAGGTACAGTGGAGAAATCCATTCAAGGAATTCTGCCCTTCGTGATGTCATGAAGAGCCATGCTTGAAAAAAACTTTCCGAAACTTATTTGAACCCAGAAGGAGTGTATATGGCACAGAAATACTCCGTCATACGTCCAAGTAATTGTTTTGAAACTTTGGCCATATTTAGCATGAGAATCCAACTCTTTAACAGTGTAAATGAATGAATGAATGAATGAATGATGCATTTATATAGCGCTTTATTGTGTATTGTTGTACACCCAAAGCGCTTTTCAATCATGTGGGGGGGTCTCTCCTCAACCACCACCAGTGTGCAGCATCCACTTGGATGATGCGACGGCAGCCACAGGACAACGGCACCAGTGCGCTCACCACACACCAGCTACAGGTGGAGAGGAGAGAGAGTCATAGAGCCAATCAAGTGGATGGGGATTATTAGGAGGCCATGATTGACAAAGGCCAGGGGGGCAATTTGGCCAGGACAAAGGGTTACACCCCTACTCTTTACAAGAAGTGCCATGGGATTTTTAATGACCACAGAGAGTGGTCATTAATGAGACACATTTGAGGCACATTACTAGGTGTAAATAGTGACGTGTCTAGCCTGACCACTTGTGATCAGATTATCAGAAACGGATCTTTATGCCAGGAGTAAAGAAAAAGGATTTATTCAAAAATAAAAATGAAAATTTAATTTAAATAAATTCCATTATGGACTCACATACATGTTGCTTAGGTGAACTAGTCTTTGAATGTAATATAAGGGAAAAATTCTGAAATGTAACTGTGACACTGTAAACTTTTCATTCTAAAATAGAATTAAAACGCATGATAACAACTATATTACATTCACAAAAACAAGTTCAAACTGAAAAAAGAAGCAATGGTGGTGAATACTTCAATGAAATGAAGTGGGGCATTATTATAAGCCTTTGGAGTGGGTGAGTCATGAACAGTGTGAATAGGAGTCTGGTTTCATGTGGTATGGTGCTTTTATCCAGCCTCTTCACAGTTTTTTTTTTTTTCTGACATGTTGGTGTTAAATCTTTCACTTGGATGTTATAATTTGCACTGAGTAAATACAGCCGGATAAAACAAAAACTGTGTCCGTCTTCATTTCAGGCTGCAAAGCAACAAAATGTGATTATTTTATTATAAATTATCTTTTCTATACCCACTGTAGATAGGTGAATGGATGGATGGGGTGGATTGGTAGGTAGGTGAATAGATAGATGATGGATGGATGGTTAGGCGGATAGATGGGTAGACGAACAGATAGGATGATGAATGGATGGGTAGGTAGATTGACAGGTAGATGTATATATGGATGGATGATGGACTTTTTTTTATGCAGAACATTGATTTAATTTCTTTGAATCAATCAAATAATTGACTAGTCTGTCCACATTCACACAATCTTGCTATCCTCTCCCTTAGTCCCCTATGCACACACTGGATACTGTTCACACATGAATACACACATTTATGCGCACACAGCTTAGTATAGTACAGAATGTACAGCAAAACAAAACGCATTCATTTAGAACATTCCCTCGTGACCTTGTGAACACGCTCTGTGTGCCAGACAGATAAAGACTGATCAGAAAGAAGCTGATGACCCAGAGAGCTTTAGCAAAACACAACCAACTGTAGAAGGGAGACTGAAAGACGAAGCTCACTGACTGACTGATTGTTTTGCTTTCTGAATGAGTGCTATTATGGACTCTTACCCTCCCCTGCCCTTTACCAAAATAACGATATGTGGGATATGCATCTGCCAGCACACACACACACTCAAGTATATATTTGAGGGTTCTCTCCCAAATTGTGTCTGTGCAGTTTCAAGAGAGGTTATACCAACAGCAAGCAGATCACTCAAGGAGTTTTGGACTACGAGTAGAAGACGAGAAAGAAAATAAACAATACTAGCAGGAATTAGAGGACCTTCCACCGATGGACAGCTCAAGAAAGAGAGAGATGGAAGAAAGGAAAGGAGAGATGGATTAACTTTGAATCAACCTTGGTGGAAGTAGGGAAGTTGTGACGACTTTGGGGAAAATCGAATGGAATCAGGCAGTTACCTGAGGCGCAGATCTGAAGTTGTGCTCCCACACAGTGAATATCAGCCCTGCAAATCACTGTGTGTGTTAGTGAGGATCCCGGCTGTGCTCAGTATCACGGTGTTCTTAGAACACTAGTATGATCGGCTGTTCTGGGCTTTAAGACACCTGCGCACATGGTGAAATAACACATAGCTCTTTGTTAGGGATCGTTCTGGACTTCTGAGCCATTTCTGCAAGTTCCTACTGTACATGGTTTTCAGTGTTTTAGAGCAGAACCTTTTAATATTTCATACATAGATGTGCAGTATCCAATCTCAACTTCAATTCCATTTCAGACTGGTTATAGATTTGGTTATATGACACAAAACACATAATTGTGCTTTCTAAAGTTGCGCAAATGAGGTCGTTTAACTTCTTACAGTTTAAATACTCATTTCAAATCTGGTGAAAACAGTTGGCAGACTAGATAGCGCATTGATTTATGATTGTTTCAGAGAGCCAGAGTCTGTTTGCGTTATGACGAGGTGAATCTCAACAGGCTCTGCCTCACCACGAAAGAGAAAAAAAAACTCACAAAACCAGACCAGGTCTTAGGAGAACAAGAAGAATTTCATAAGCGAAAGCTTTTGTAGGATTCAAATCTGTGATGTGGTTACCGGCTACCGTTTCAGATATAAACACAACAGCCTTATGCATAACAAGTATGATATTATCTAAAAGTGAGTACTCCATTAGTGTTTGCAACATTTGAGCTTAGTCTTTGAGTGCTAATAAGTGGTTTGACGGCAAAGTTAAGTGTGGAAATTGCCACACGATAGGATTTTCTTTTTACTCTTGAACGTGGAGGATTGTTTTAATTAGCCGCCTTCGGTTGGTTGTTATCGCATGTGATATTAGTTGCTTGAGGATTAAAACACAGCCGCTAAAGTGATTTAGTTAACCCTGCACTTAAAGAGCACTGGTGTTTAGTGTAGTAATTTTGCTGCGGTTTCAGCTGTGTAGTGTGTGCTGAATTGTGCAGTCATCAACCACAGAGGCCTCATTGATCAGCTACCGAGCCTCAATACACAATGAGACGAGGCCAGCGATCTCTCCTCCTCTCCTCCACTCCATCCCTCCTGCTGCGATCCCTCGTTCTGCTCTCCCTCTGCCGTGAGTCGTTACATTTCTTGCTTTACTTCTCCATCTGTCTCGTTCCTCAGCACACCTTGAAATGAATCTTTCTCCTTCTGTCTGTAACTTTATGAAACCCAAAGCTTCTTTCATTTCTCTTCCTCTTTCTCATCTCGGTCTCGGCCTCTCTGATCCACTTTATTTTCACTGGTCCCCTTCTCCTTAAACACTTCTCTCTGTCCTTTTCTCTCACTCGGCCTCAGAGAAAGATAATTTATGGGAAGGAGCGAAGAGATGCGTGTGTGAAGAGAAAAGAGGTTACAGGGAGAGGAGAACGGAGGCCGAGTTAGCTGACAGATTTATGATTGAGGGATCAGAGAGGAGTATAGACCAAAGGCAAAAGATATATAAGAAATAGTGGTGTCATGCGCTTTTTTTCCTTCTCTTTTTTAAATGGGCACCAGTGGAAGTCTTGACTCACTCAGTGCTTTAGGCAAGAATGCACATAAATATATATATATATAGTTTTGTTTTTGTTTTACAAATTACCAGTTAGATAAGTAAATGCAAGATTTCTTTTGAAATAAAGCAAGCAAAATTGCAGCAGAACTCGACAGCTAGTGATCAACCTGCATTTTCATTGTATGGAAATGATTTGACATTTTAATAATGATCCTTTTGTCTTCCACCAGAAAAAAGGGCATATGAGCTTGGAGCAATATGAGGGTGGGTAGATGATGTCAGATTCTATTCAATTGGATTGACCACATTTAGATTGCTGCAGCAATTTAGACAAACACTTTGCTTCTTAATTATCAATGAACCAAATAATGTTTTTGGATGTTTAATTGTACATGTTCATTTCCCATTACTTTTACTATCATCTAACGCTCACTTAAACACCAATAAATTAATAACACTGTTAAATGTAATCTTTAGCAATCTCGAAATCTCAATATTGTTGAGACCAAATTCACTTTTAGCATTTATTTATTTATTTATTCATTCACATTCATTCATCTAGTATAGAATTTTAATATCAGCCATTTACCAATAATTGTTCATAATTATTTTTTAAGGTTATTATCATCTTTTGGGTGTCACGATTTATTATGCAGCTTTTGAAATATTTCAGATTCTGCACTAATTCTTAGTCACTTATCAATCAATTTGTGACATTTGAGTAGGTGAACTTGAGTAGGTTAAAACAGCCAGATGTTCTTGAATTGACCAAATTTAGACTGCCATCTTTTTCGGATGGTAATTGTTTCTGATGGGGACATCTCCAAAAATACATTTAAATAGTTCCTCAGTGATAAAACTCATGCGATTGGATGATGATTTACCCACTGTGGAGGAGTGAGTTCTGTGATCCTACAAACGTGCAAGTTCAACATGACAATAAATTTAATAATAGGAAATTAATATTCAATAAATGTTTTATTCATTCATTTAAATTTCATTTTTAATAATAGGAAAATTACATTTACATTTACATTTACATTTAGTCATTTAGCAGACGCTTTTATCCAAAGCGACTTACAAATGAGGACAATAAAAGCAGTCAAAACTAACAAAAGAGCAACAATATATAAGTGCAATTGACAAGTATAGTTTATAAAAACCTGAAACAGAAGTGGAAAGAGGAGAGATAAAAAGCGATACTTATGTCCTTTGCCGGTGTCCCTGCCCGGCGGAGTCGCACGGTAGAGTCAATGGTCTTTACACTCTTCGGTCTTCACACGAGGAGAGCTTCACACGAGGGCTGCCGCAGTATACTAAGCTTTTTATATTCGTCTAACAAAACTCAAATTAAATTCAGCTGAACACACTTTCCTGTGTTTACGAGACCAAACGCGATTTCAGCACGTCTCCACACAGTACACAAAACAAGCGTTTCCTAGCAACGACAACTGCGCTAAACACTGAGACAAGAAATAAATACACTTACAAGCTGCTTTTAACTTCTGCTGATTGACTGCTTCTCACAAAGAGTATTTCTTTACACTGTTTTGCTGGAGCTTGAACACACTTTCCTGTTTATCACACCAAATGGCCAAGCAAAGCGCACGACACTGACAAGGTACGCGATACAGTACGAGACCAAACGCGATTTTGATGCACTATGGTTTAACGTCTTTCTTGCATTGTATCTCTCAAAATGATTGATGTAATTTTAAAAATGTGGAAACTAGCAGAAACGAGTTATGCAGCCTCTTATATATAGAAGGCAAACATTTGACTACTACTTTGACTTCTAGTAAAATGGTTAGTCATGTGAGCCCTAATTTATACGAATACTAACTTGTATAACTTATTAGATGAAGGTCAACATAGGAAGAGCAAGATGAAGAAACAAAGAAGAGTAATGACATGTGGAAAACTCACAGAGAACTGACATCTAGTAGAAAGAAAGGAAGAGAGGAAAACAGGAGTGGTAAAACAGGAGCCTGAAGTTGAGAGGGAATTGTTAATACAACCATTAAAATGTGCAGAACACTGGGGAGGAAGGAAACGGCAGTATAACAATGAGGAGAACGAGACGAACGAGCAAGAATACAGACTCTGTAGGGACACAGAAAGGCAAGAATGAAGGAAGGAGATATGACAGTGGCTTTATGGAGGATAACCTCAAATTCACTCAGGGACTTTTGCAGTTAAAGAGAACACGTATTCAAGAGGAACCTCAAGGAAAACCGAGATTGGCCATTTTATGGTGTAATTGCTGTTTTTCCCAGAGTATGTGCACTTATAGCTCAGCAAGGACATTTTTGTTCCTGTACTCTGTGACTCACTACCTCAGGTAATATGACAGTCTGTCTATATACTTCAGACTTCTCTCGCTGTTTTCCTCTGCCTTTTAATAACATCGCATCATGGGTGCTGGGCCTCATTGTCAGCAGGAGCAGAAGTCCTCAGTCTAATTCAAACCTGAAATAAACACACATTCTGATGTAAAATAAATAAGAACTCTTTAAGTATGCACAGTATATATCATTAAAATATTGGTTATCTGTCGATATAGTTTTTTCTGGCAGATATCAGACATATAATTTTCCATGCTCATTTGTCCAATTTTTACACTTAGATTACCTTTGCCATCATCTAACGCTGAAGTTCATGTTTTAAAACACTATAATTAAAAAAAAAAAAAAGTTAAATGAAAGTCTATGCTGTACATTATAATGTTGTGATGCCTAAATTAACTTATAGCATTTAAAATGATTGATTTTAGTTTTTAGTGTTTTTAATGAATTTTAAAATCTGCATAACATGAAAGTAAACATCAGCTTAGTGATATGATCAAATTTAGCACTTTTCACAATACAGTTTCAAAGCAGTTTTACAGAAAATCATGAGGTAAATGTTTGTAATATCTTAATATATTTATGCTTTATAGTCGCTTTTAGCAGATTAGAACTGGGCGATGATATAGTTTACATTTTGTGACAAAAGCAATCAAGCAGTTGAGGTTTGCTCTGTAGTACAGTATATATCACCATACGGGAGTATGCTATATGTATACTTTGCATAACTTCCTTAATAATATTTCAGATTCGATTTTGCTATTTCTAGGTCACTAATCAAAAAAGTTAGTGACATTTATTCTGTAATCCACAGTCAGATGTTCATCCAGTGAAGCAGAATTAGCGCTTTGGACAATTCTGGAGGACATGATCATCAGGTTTTACACAAACTTGTGGAGTTCATGCAGCCTGAGTGCTGCTGTCATTAAAGCAAAAGGGGGTCATACAGTATTAGACATTCTGAAAGTCATTAAATTACATTTTCAATTCAATGTTTCACTCAACTGTTATGCTGATATTATAATTTGTAATGGAAAAAATGATTAAATTAGAAAAAGGCTAAATAGAAGCAATTTCAGTGGTCTCAGACATTTGAACCCCGCTGTATATTCATAATCCCAGCAACAAAAAGCCATTCTGTGCACCAGCATGCGTATGTGTGTGAGTGAGAGAGATAAAGAATGGGTCTTTAGCTTTGGCAGAATATGCTGTTATGTAATTCTCACCAATAAAGCATTTTTTTCTCTAGCAGTTGAATGTGAGATGCTGTTGGAGATGGGAGCCAGGTTGACAGGATGAGTTTGTGTATGCGAGGAATTGTGGCGGTCTGGATTTCTGTGCTGGCTGTAGGCTAACTCTCTCAGGCTAGCCTGGTGTAATTGCCCTGTAAATTTCCCGTAAGCCCCCTTTGTTATGCCCGACTGTAAATGTCTCTGCAGTGCTTTGAAACCGCGTGTCAGGAACACGCGGGGGTCTCCGTACTGCTCCGAAAAACAAACAAATGTCCACACAAACACATCAAGAAACCAAGGATATCAGGGACAGAATAACCTGAAGGAAGTTGTCTAGAGAAATGAATTGATGGATGGAGGGGAAAAGAGTGGGATGAAATGGAGTGAGGAGAGAGTGATATGCCTGAAATATGGTGATAAAAAAGAGCAGCGTAAAACATGAAGGTCAAAAGAAAGAGTGCAGCGGTTATGGTGAGGGGAAGAGATAAAGGAGAACAGGAGAACAGGAGCAAGAAATCATAGATGGAGCGATGGAACAGGAGACGAAAGAATAAACGTCATGAACAGACAATGAAACAGTGAAGAGAAAAATATTTGAAGCTTCAGGACACACTTAAAAAAAATCTTAGATCAGTAAATACTTGTAAGTGTGCGGACAGACAACAGTAAATAGACAGACACATACACAGAGCGCTACTGAAGAGCAGAAGCTGGTTTGCGCCCGGCCGGATGCGCTTCTATGCTTTCTGGTGCTTACGTCACCCTGCTCGTGACGTCTCGCTGCTCCATTGGACGGATTTGACACGTGCTTCAGAACGCGGTTTCGCAAGGGCGTTCCCAAAGCGATCTCGACGCAGCTTGAGTTCCTGAAGGGGAACCAATATTTTCTTTTGCTTCCTATTTTGTATAGGAATAGTTTACAAAAAGTGGAAATTATGTCAATTTACTCATCCTTATGTTGTTCCAAGCCTACATGACTTAATTTCTACTGTGAAATAAT